TACTGTGTCAAAGGCTTTCCGACAGTCCAAAAAATTGCAGTTTGCCCACCTTTCTCTTTATTCCTTAATCTTTGTCACCTCATTGTAGAATTCAAATAAACGTGTGAGACAAGATTTGCCATCTCTCAAGAGCCCAATAGGCTCAAGAATCTGTACACCAGTTGATTGACAGTAGAGAGGTGGGACCAAAGAGCCAAAGCTCAATCCCTGCAAGCACAACTAGGTGAGTACATACACACCGGTGTAGTTTACTCCCAGTAAATCAACTGACAATTCTTTTGTGCCTCCGTACCCAGTAATGTACCAATATTCCAGATAATTTAAGAAATCTCAGACATGAACATTCACTTTATTTGGTTTGTAAAGGACAACTCCACTTTCCTGAAGATGGCAGAAATTTGGAAAAAAATATTCCTGCATATGATAAAGAAATACTTTTCATTCTCTGCTTAGAAATGTTAAAAAATATTGCACACTAAATGTAGCTGACATTCGGGTATCTGAGCACACAGCTGAATAGTCAAATGAAAATGTAAATGAATATTTGCCAGAAACACTGCATAATAGTGGCTTTAGGCTGTAACACCATGATCCCCTCCCCCCCCCTCGAGTTTTCACCCAGGGAAGCCTTCTCCAAGAGGTCAGCCCAGATGACCTCCGGATTATCTTGTATGTTGATTAAAAAAATTCCTGGGTTAGTCTTAGTCAGCTAGTTTCAAGTATGTAATATTTCATGATACTCTTGTCAAACATTGCAATGGAATTAGACCCCCAGATTCTTATGTGTAAACATCCATGGATCTCTCCTTTTAGCCAGGTCAAAGGTCAGTCACACACGTAATTAATAATTCCTCTCTTGAACAGTGTATGGTGAATGTCAAACAAGTTTAATGAAAATTCTTAAGTGTTTGTGCACGTGTGGCCTGACCTCTTTTGATCTAGGTAGCAACAATAAATCTTCCCCTCCCCCTTTTTCGAGGGTATATATTGGTCCTGTAGAGACTTAGGGACAGAGTGCTGGACACCGGGGTCCAGAGAGGGCTGTGGAGAACATTGTGAGGTGACAGAGGGAGAGACAGAGGTCTTAAGGTAATGTGTGTGATCTCTGAGGTTCTGTTCCATGTCTAAATTTCTTAACCTTTGGCCAGTGTTAGAGTAGGATTTATAAGTGGTGATTAGCATAATTTTGGTCTCAATAAACTCATGTTAAATTTCCCATCTGTGTCAATTGTTGAATCCTCTTAGCCTTTTGGATATAGTGGCTGACAACCGTCCCATAATTAATGACAGTTATAGAAAGTACTCTCCAAGTCAAGCAATGTTTCTTGCCTCGTTGCTTGATATAGTCTCAATGGTCAAGGCAGATGGTGGCAGCGTTATTTAATCCTGTGTAGCATTTCCTTGTTTCGCAGTGTACCTTTTGGTTCCGGTGTAACCATCATATGTCAGCTCATATTACAGTGTTCAATAACAGTGTTACCAAGTGCAACTGATAGGAAGTGTTACTCAGGATAAGCAGTAGTGTTTTTAGTATTAATTTAGTATATAGTTGTGTTACATTATAGTGGTGTTACAAGGCATTGTTATACTAGCTCTGTCTAGAAATCCAACATTCTCATTGTAACTCATTTTGTATGTACAGTATGTACTTTTCCTAAATAAACATTATCATTATCTAAATAAAAAATAAACATTTAGTGTGTGCAGATAAACACCCATCAGCACAGATCAAGACAACAAGAAATAAAAAATTGTAGACAGCAACATGAGGAATCAACATAATCACCATCCATAACTGCCAACACAGAGCCACTACAGCATCAAAGTCCAAAACAAATAATAACATACTCGAAACGTGCCGATATTCTGCACATGGTGGGTGTAAAAATGGGCAATCCATAAAACTATCTGAATATGCAGATACAGTACTGTATTATCACCAAGAAATGCAGAAACACACAAAAAAACAGCTGTCATTCCAAAAGTTAAATTTTTCCACCCAGAACTGTGTAAGTGAAAGTAAATGTTACATTAGTATTGGGCTCTTCCATGATGGATATAGAACTTTCGCTGATAACAACGAAGGAATGAGAAACACTAAGGTTACAGTATGACACTTATTGTAAACGAACCCTCCCAAACACACTGAAAATTCACTTTTATAAACAGCGTGGTAGATGGTTGGAACAAGTTAGGCGAGAAGGTGGTAGAGGCCAAAACCGTCAGTAATTTCAAAGCGTTATATGACAAAGTGCTGGGAAGACGGGACACCACGAGCGTAGCTCTCGTCCTGTAACTACACTTAGGTAATTACTGAAGAATGACACCTCAAACAAAGTTTACATGACAAGTACCCCAAACTCTATCAATATTTTAGACGTCAACCCGAACCTAGCTGGGCTTTAAAGAAGCCGAACACACTGTGCAAGACAAGGACACAAACTCTAGTTCCAGATCATCCTTTACAGGCGACAGCATTAGTGACACTAAGAAATGTAGAGGACAACGGATACCTGATTAACCAGCCTGTAGTACATAGGTTAGATTGTAGGCAGTGGCATTTAATAGCGTGACTAACCAGGGGCACTAACCAGGAGGCGTGGTAAGAGACCAGGCTGCAGGGACATTGATCCTCAGAACCACCTTAAGGCTGGTAACCTTAAGCTATACCTAAATGTAAGCTGCCTCTCGATAATTAGGCGAGTGTGTGGCACGTAGTGTCTCGGCTAGTTCTTGTCTTCTGTTGTCGTCATGTATGCCAATTATTTTGGTGTTCTTGGTCAGGAGACCGTCCAAGTGGTTGGGCACCATTCCTTCCCCCGTCCCATCCCAAATCTTTATCCTGACCCCTTCCAAGTGCTATATAGTCGTAATGGCTTGGCGCTTTATCCCAATAGTTCCCTCCCCCTTGGTTAGGCCATCTCTGATGGACTGGTTGTGTGTAGAAACAATGTGATCTTTCATTGAGCCTCGCAATTTGTGCCTTTTTTAGGCACGTTGAAAGAGATGTCGTCTTGCCTAAATATTGAAATCACTCGGGCAGAGCCCCCAAGTAGACGTGTAAAGGCATTAACAATATTCATCTCTTTCAAAGCATTTTCCTTAATGTCAGGAGAGTTTTTCTTGAGCAAATTTGTGAACTTCGTCTTCATGTAGTGAATGGTAAACTTTATTTTCTGGTTCACTTTGATAGTGTCACGTTTCTGTTGATGTCTTTCATGACTCTCTCCTCAGTCTTGTGACACATTAAAAAGATGGTTGTTTAGAAGACTTTAAAAGACAGGATAATTCCGTAGTATTGGCTGCTTTATTATAGACAGAATAGTGGTTTCCTTTCCTTTCAAAGCTCTCTCTGATGTATTCATTAGGGGTATCCATTGTTGACAAGACCGTGCCTTACTCCATGAGTTAATCATCAACCGGCTTTCAGCTGTAGCCATGCGAGAGCACCGTTGACACAAGGAGTCGTCAACACATCGTTTACATCCGTCGCGCCACGCACTACTAGCACTAAGGCACATTCCTATGTTAGTTCACTTAGTATAGACTGCAGTGCAAAGTCATCATTCCGTTAGCGTAGCCATTATTAACAAGGCCCAGATTCCAATCACATCCAGATTAGACTCTGCTTCAAACACGCGCTCCATTACTCACGAATGTAATCATATGCATCACAACCATAAAGACATTGCTATTAATGTGACAACATTCATCCAATGTCACAGCCAAAGAGTTACAAAGTAGCACAGGGTGCTAGAAATTTTGTTTATATAAGATGGTCATCTTGAGATGGTTTCGGGGCTTAGAGTCCCCGGGGCCCGGTCCTCAACCAGGCCTTCTCTATTGCATAATATACAACACTGCAACAATTACATTATACATTATGTATTGTACAAGTATTTACAAGCCCTCAGCAAAAAGGGATTACAGTACATGTAATGTATGATACAGCATACACATCCTGTATTAGTGGAAGAAACCACACAAAATGTGCACAAGTCTTTTAATTCAACAAACTTCTTGATGGCACATACACTGAACATTGGCGGCAAATGTTGCGTCATTTTACCCCATAAACACGCGCTGTCTGCACCATATTTTGCAGTTTTTCAATTATTTTTAACTGTGAACCATTGCATAAATGCCTCTATAATGGCAGTTACAAAATATATTGAACTTGATAACAATAGTGTTGTTGAGACTTGAGTCATTGTAGAGAAGTGCATCATTGTTGTGTATGACAGCTGTCAATGCCAGTGCTGGAAGTGCCAGTGATGCTTAGTATATTGTGCCAGGTAGAGCTGGCCTATAATGTACACGAGTTCCTTCTTCAGTGCTGGACACATATGTAAACAAACACATGTGGCTGTGTGGTGTCACATGTAGGAGAGCCACACATGCCTCAAAACTCTATTCATGTATCCTCTTCTCTATGAAACTGTGTGTATACATGTGAATGTGTATACATGTATATATACATATATACACACATGATGTGTATAGGCAATGTACATACATATGTATGTATAAGCACCCTTCTGCATATACATACACGCATGTCTTGTTATATGTACACACACATGAGCAGACATGTATGTGCGAGCGTACACATACTGGTGGCTGGAGTGTACACACACACTACGTGTACACATACATTATTCCCCAAGCAGGCACCTAGCAAGAGAGAGGTAGAGAGAGAGGTAGAGGTAGAGAGGTAGAGGTAGACGGGTAGAGGTAGAGAGAGGAGGGAGGCCCTGGAGGTATTGTTTACATTTAGTGAGGCCAATATCAGCTGAGCAGCGTGTCCCCCCCCCCCCCGGGGCCGCCCACCCCACACACCCACCACACACACACACACCGCCCACCACAGCCGCCCACCTCGCTGCCCACACCGCCCACACCACCCCCCGCCTCACCACCCACAACACGCCACAAGTGTGAGGGTGTGTGAGGCCCGGCGTGATGAGGGCCTCACACACACACTCGCCGCCATCACTCACCTCCAACACGGTACATATTGCTGGCCATCTTCCCCGCGTCGCTACATACACACGCGCTCACCAGCTACACATCACACTCCTCTCCTCTCCCGACGTTTCATGACAAGTGCCAAAACAATCAACGTGATGGGCGCCGCTGACAATTCGCCATTTTCTCACTTTCCGTAGACGCGTTCCAACAACGCCTCCACTCCACACTTAATTATTTCCCGCACTACCCAACGGCTTCCCATCACTTTAAGACTTCGTAATACATTTAGAATTTATATAGATCTTCTATTATAACCTCCGTGGTGAGAATCATGAGCAACTTGGGGTAAGACGAGAGGGGTAATAATATTTGTGAAGAGGAGCGGGAGACCCGGAGAAGTTGTGGTGGTGAGAACATAAATTTGATGACGTCACAGAGCTCCTCCGGCCAGACAAAGCCATCACTGACCTCATACATTTATTTCCTCATATATTGACTCAATATTATCCCTCATTAACCCATAATATATATGAGTCCCCTCCTCGGCTTCCAGGCTCATTAAATATACCCAAATCCTCATAAAAGGCGGTATATTAGAACAATTATAAGGCCATTAATGGCATGATGGGTTATAACTGGGGATTGATGCTAAAAGTATATTGTGATGAGGTTAAGATGAGTGTGTTGAGGTGAGCGGCATTAAGATGAGCGGATCAATGACACTGCCGGCCACTGTAGCATGCGAGGTGACGCGCGAAATAAAAACCTACCAATGTTCATTTCCGTCTTGAGTTTGTGGCGCCAAATGTTCGCGGGAGGCTGGCGGCGGCAGCTGGCCTCACCACCACACATACACCCTGTATTAATTATACAACATTTATACAACACATACACCTTCCCCAGGGCCAGCCCCGTGCCCCTGACCTGCCATAATCACAATTATCTCACACATCAATCTTGGGGCTCCATTGATACCACAATCATCAACTGATTAGTTAAAAAAAAAATCGAGTAAGCATTGCCCGGAGTGAGAGGAATGGACACCCTTCCCTAGTGTTGCTGGGCTCAGAGCCCGGCCACACGGCCCTCACAACACTGTGTTACACCAGCCACACACCTTCCCTAGTGTTGCGGGGCTCAGAGCCCGGCCACACGGCCCTCACAACACTGTGTTACACCAGCCACACACCTTCCCTAGTGTTGCGGGGCTCAGAGCCCGGCCACACAGCCCTCACAACACTGTGTTACACCAGCCACACACCTTCCCTAGTGTTGCGGGGCTCAGAGCCCGGCCACACGGCCCTCACAACACTGTGTTACACCAGCCACACACCTTCCCTAGTGTTGCTGGGCTCAGAGCCCGGCCACACGGCCCTCACAACACTGTGTTACACCAGCCACACACCTTCCCTAGTGTTGCGGGGCTCAGAGCCCGGCCACACAGCCCTCACAACACTGTGTTACACCAGCCACACACCTTCCCTAGTGTTGCGGGGCTCAGAGCCCGGCCACACGGCCCTCACAACACTGTGTTACACCAGCCACACACCTTCCCTAGTGTTGCGGGGCTCAGAGCCCGGCCACACGGCCCTCACAACACTGTGTTACACCAGCCACACACCTTCCCTAGTGTTGCGGGGCTCAGAGCCCGGCCACACGGCCCTCACAACACTGTGTTACACCAGCCACACACCTTCCCTAGTGTTGCGGGGCTCAGAGCCCGGCCACACGGCCCTCACAACACTGTGTTACACCAGCCACACACCTTCCCTAGTGTTGCGGGGCTCAGAGCCCGGCCACACAGCCCTCACAACACTGTGTTACACCAGCCACACACCTTCCCTAGTGTTGCGGGGCTCAGAGCCCGGCCACACGGCCTCACAACACTGTGTTACACCAGCCATACACCTTCCCTAGTGTTGCGGGGCTCAGAGCCCGGCCACACGGCCTCACAACACTGTGTTACACCAGCCATACACCTTCCCTAGTGTTGCTGGGCTCAGAGCCCGGCCACACGGCCCTCACAACACTGTGTTACACCAGCCATACACCCTTCCCTAGTGTTGCTGGGCTCAGAGCCCGGCCACACGGCCTCCGAACACTGTGTTACACCAGCCATACACCTTCCCTAGTGTTGCTGGGCTCAGAGCCCGGCCACACAGCCTCCCAACACTGTACTCACCTAGTTGTGTTTGCGGGGGTTGAGCTCTGGCTCTTTGGTCCCACCTCTCAACCGTCAATCAACAGGTGTACAGGTTCCTGAGCCTATTGGGCTCTATCATATCTACACTTGAAACTGTGTATGGAGTCAGCCTCCACCACATTACTTCCTAATGCATTCCATTTGTCAACCACTCTGACACTAAAAAAGTTCTTTCTAATATCTCTGTGGCTCATTTGGGCACTCATTTTCCACCTGTGTTCCCTAGTGCGTGTGCCCCTTGTGTTAAATAGCCTGTCTATCAACCCTGTCAATTCCCTTCAGAATCTTGAATGTGGTGATCATGTCCCCCCTAACTCTTCTGTCTTCCAGTGCAGTGAGGTTTAACTCCCGTAGTCTCTCCTCGTAGCTCATACCTCTTAGCCCGGGTACTAGTCTGGTGGCAAACCTTTGAACCTTTTCCAGTTTAGTCTTATCCTTGACTAGATATGGACACCATGCTGGGGCTGCATACTCCAGGATTGGCCTGACATATGTGGTATACAAAGTTCTGAATGATTCTTTACACAAGTTTCTGAATGCCGTTCGTATGTTGGCCAGCCTGGCATATGCCGCTGATGTTATCCTCTTGATATGGGCTGCAGGAGACAGGTCTGGCGTGATATCAACTCCCAAGTCTTTTTCTTTCTCTGACTCCTGAAGAATTTCCTCTCCCAGATGGTACCTTGTATCTGGCCTCCTGCTCCCTACACCTATCTTCATTACATTACATTTGGTTGGGTTAAACTCTAACAACCATTTGTTCGACCATTCCTTCAGCTTGTCCAGGTCTTCTTGAAGCCTCAAACAGTCCTCTTCTGTTTTAATCCTTCTCATAATTTTAGCATCGTCCGCAAACATTGAGAGAAATGAGTCTATACCCTCCGGGAGATCATTTACATATATCAGAAACAAGATAGGACCGAGTACAGAGCCCTGTGGGACTCCACTGGTGACTTCACGCCAATCCGAGGTCTCACCGTAACTCTCTGCTTCCTATTGCTCAGGTACTCCCTTATCCACTGGAGCACCTTACCAGCTACACCTGCCTGTCTCTCCACCTTATAAATAAATAAATATATATTTAGGTAAGGTACATACATACAAGAGATTTTACAAAGAGTGAAGGATTTATATATAGAGCTAGTACATACAATGCCTAAAGCCACTATTACGCAAAGCGTTTCGGGCAGGAAAAACTTAAATGACTAAAGATTAATACTAATTGAGCATAAAGAGTAAAATGTGTTGAGAACAAATAAAAATAGAGATAAAAAGGGGGGAACATGGCTGAAAAAGCAGCACAAATACAATTAGGTCGACAAACAGCGCTGTTTAAAAAAAAACAGACATTGGTTGACAATAGAGGGGTAAGGTGGGTTACAGGGAATTTATTAGGTAGTGCTTCGTTTTTATCTTAAACTGGTTGAACTTAAACAAGTTTAAGATAACTTGTAGATAATATAACTTGTAAGATAATAAGACTAAACCAGTTTAAGATAACTTTAAGATAACAGTTGAACTTTATCTTAAACTTTTATCCTAAACTGGTTATGTACCAGCCTCTTATGCGGTACTGTGTCAAAGGCTTTCCGACAGTCCAAGAAAATGCAGTCCGCCCAGCCTTCTCTTTCTTGCTTAATCTTTGTCACCTGATCGTAGAATTCTATCAAGCCTGTAAGGCAAGATTTACCCTCCCTGAACCCATGTTGGCGATTTGTCACGAAGTCGCTTCTCTCCAGATGTGTTACCAGGTTTTTTCTCACGATCTTCTCCATCACCTTGCATGGTATACAAGTCAAGGACACTGGCCTGTAGTTCAGTGCCTCTTGCCTGTCGCCCTTTTTGTATATTGGGACCACATTCGCCGTCTTCCATATTTCTGGTAGGTCTCCCGTCTCTAGTGATTTACTATACACTATGGAGAGTGGCAAGCAAAGTGCCTCTGCACACTCTTTCAGTACCCATGGCGAGATCCCATGGGTACTGATCGAAATCGAGATGTGTGTGTGTGTGTGTGTGTGCTCACCTAGTTGCTCACCTAGTTGTGTCTGCAGGATCGAGCATTGACTCTTGGATCCCGCCTTTCGAGCATCGGTTGTTTACAGCAATGACTCCTGTCCTATTTCCCTATCATACCTGGTTTTAAAATTATGAATAGTATTTGCTTCCACAACCTGTTCCTGAAGTGCATTCCATTTCCCCACTACTCTCACGCTAAAAGAAAACTTCCTAACATCTCTGTGACTCATCTGAGTTTCAAGCTTCCATCCATATCCTCTCGTTCTGTTACTATTCCGTGTGAACATTTCGTCTATGTCCACTCTGTCAATTCCTCTGAGTATCTTATACGTTCCTATCATGTCCCCCCTCTCCCTTCTTCTTTCTAGTGTCGTAAGGCACAGTTCCCTCAGGCGCTCTTCATACCCCATCCCTCGTAGCTCTGGGACGAGTCTCGTTGCAAACCTCTGAACCTTTTTCAGTTTCATTATATGCTTCTTCAGATGGGGACTCCATGATGAGGCGGCATACTCTAAGACTGGCCTTACGTAGGCAGTGTAAAGCGCCCTAAATGCCTCCTTACTTAGGTTTCTGAATGATGTTCTAACTTTTGCCAGTGTAGAGTACGCTGCTGTCGTTATCCTATTAATATGTGCCTCAGGAGATAGATTAGGTGTTACGTCCACCCCCAGGTCTCTTTCACGCGTCGTTACAGGTAGGCTGTTCCCCTTCATTGTGTACTGTCCCTTTGGTCTCCTATCTCCTAGTCCCATTTCCATAACTTTACATTTGCTCGTGTTGAATTCTAGTAGCCATTTCTCTGACCATCTCTGCAATCTGTTCAGGTCCTCTTGGAGGATCCTGCAATCCTCATCTGTCACAACTCTTCTCATCAACTTTGCATCATCCGCAAACATCGACATGTAGGACTCTACGCCTGTAAACATGTCGTTAACATATACAAGAAATAGAATTGGTCCCAGCACCGATCCTTGTGGTACTCCACTTGTTACTGT